GGATTGTCTTCATTAAATATGGTCTTATTTTTCACCAAATTAAAAAAAAACTTGTATACTTAGGTATTCTAATCTATTCATATGTATATTGTATTTTGTCTTCTGTTTAGAAGAGACAATCACTCCTGAAAACAGAGACAAGTGTTTTTGTAAAGCAAAGATTATGATAATCTTGAACCTGCATTCCTAAGGAATGATGTTTATGTGATATTATTTAGCATTGCAGATGAAGAAAGGTACATGAAGGCCTTACTAGGGGGAAACAGTATCTCTTTTAAGCAGCTTTTTCCTCATTTGCAGAAATTTCTGGAAGTACTCACTTTTGTGCTTTGTGTGAACTGGACCATTTGTCCATCCCTTTTTCTTTGCACACATTTATCCTTGAGGTTTTTCCAGCTGTAGAAGGGGGATAAAATCTGTATAACACATACAGGGAGTGAGATGGATACATCTCTTGTGTGGAAGTTCTGAGAGCCATTTTGGAATACCAACATGAAACTAGGAAAACTTATGTTTTTTTTTCTGATTAGCATTATGCTGCTTAATACCATGGAGCTTCGATTTTACTTTCCTTCCTATGTTTTATTAATATTTTTCAAAGTATGTTTTTCTGTGGGAGACGAAATCAAGAAACATTGTATGCTTTTATCATGTGAACTTACGGCAATGGTGGCATTGAACACAGGACCCATGCCTACTTAATTAAACAAGGGTCCAGAGGGGAGAAGAGAAGTGGATGGCAGGCTGGCACTAGACTGAAAACTACTGGAGTCTGATTGATGATGGATGAGGGAGAGTATGCCTCATATATGCTCTCCATATGGGCTGACTAGATTCCAGTTGCTGAATTTACACTGAAGGACAAGTGGTACAAATGCTTTACTGAATAGGACTTAATATGTATGGCAGAATACACCAGGTCTGGTGGGGACTGGGGGAGGAACGGATGGGGAGGAGTGTAAAGTTAACTAAGAACTGTTGTATGAAATTACAAAGCTAAATAAAGATTATATTTAAAAAGAAATATTGTGTGCTTTTGAATGGAGGAATTGAAGCACTGAATTTGCAAGATTAACAGTTATCTTTATCATCAAAGTTGGGAGTTCTGAGACAAACACAGTATAAAGATTATCCTTGGTCTCTACTTGGTGCCATTGTCCTTTCTTTACTTCCCTGCCTCTATCTCCCCTCTCAAGAAGCCTCCCTTTACCTGTAGCCCTTTTCTAGTTTCCTGACCTCTCTAGATTTTCAGATCCATATCTAAGATTTCAAAATTAGCATTAGTAATAAGAATAAAAACATGTGTATATTAGATAAATGTGTGTATGCCAAATGGAGTATTTTCTCCATAATAGAAGATAAACATGAGCTTGTTTTGTGAATGGATGTGTATGCAAACCTGGCCTGAGCTGGAGTAGTCACTGAAACAACTTGATTCCGGAATGTCCTATCACTTGGGGGCATTTTGGCTTCCCCTTCACAATGGGAACTGATAACAGGAAAATTAGAGCTCAGGGATTTTATTGGTGTTTCTTCAGTTACCTATTTGTTCAGTAGTTGTCATCAACCATAAGCAATGACACCTGTAAAAATGTATCATCTCAAGATTGTTCCTGTTTTAAAATGAAGCTTTCTTCACTTTCCAGGTACAGAATCCTGTTCAGTCTAGCTCTTGATGGTAGATGAGAGTATCTGAGGGAAATTGTGTAATGTGATCAAACGTCATAACAAAGTACAGAAACAGAGATTTTGGCAACTGAATTTTGTCTTTGCTCTTTTTCTTTTCCTTTGAAGAACATTAAGATAGTATTTTGAGCTAATGTTTCCTTGCAGTGGTATCAAAATTACTTTATGAGGCTCAATTTCTTTACCTTTGAGTATGACAACAGTGGGAATTAAGTAAAAAGTATAACTTTTGTTCACCTCTCTATCTGTCCCTGAAAGCCGTCTCTATGACTTGCGGATTTATTAAGCAGTTTTCCAGGTACCTAATGTGAACGTGACTTCTCCAGTAACAGCAATCCCCTTACAAATCAGATAAAAATAAAAAAGCAATAACTTGATTGAGTCAAAAATCTTAGTGTCCTGAAATTCTTTCAAAATACTTTAATCATCATTATTTTTTATTTTATGTGCAGGAGTGTATTGCCTGCATGTATGTAAGTATACCCATGCCATGCAATACCCACAGAGGTGAGAAAAGGGTGTAGGATTCCCTGGAACTGGAATTATGGATGGTTGTTAGCTGCCGTGTGCGTGCTGGGCGTTGAGCTTGGGTTCTTTGCAAGAGCAGCCAGTGCTATTAACCGCTGAACGAGCTCTCCAATCCTCAAAATTTTATTGAGCAAACAATCTCTATTTGTCGATATTCACCGTTATTTTCGTGCACAACAGCGTATTTGATGCCCTTTTGCTGCCTGCTTTTTGTATCAATTGTGTTTTGATTATTTTTATTTTGTCTGAACTTTGTTTTCAGTGGCTTCTAAGAATTTGATTGCTTGTGCATAGCAGTGTTTTTTATTTTATTAGGTGACAGATGCTGTAGTTATTTTACTTACCTCTAATATCTATTTACTAGATTCAGCTTCTGTGTGGTTGTCATTGTGCATATCCATAATTATGAAATATATTTTTATTGAAAACTGAAAATGTCATAAATAATTACTTTCTAACATACACTAAAATTTAGCACATTGGTTTGATTAGAATTAATTAATATTTAACTTCTGAGAAAATATTTACCTACTAGAGATTCATTGCATTGAGTAATTATCAATTATTATATATAAATGGTCCAATGATACCAAGTAATTTCACCTTTATTTACCTCTTACTCCACAGGATAATATTGTGTGTTATGAAATTCTTTAGTCATATAGTCCAAACCAGATAAACCTCTGGAGGAAAATATTCTATAACCACTAGCTTCTTCTGAATTATCATTTTTGTGCAGTGTCTCTCGGTTACTGATGCCTTGAGGTATCTATAATTAGTTTCATATCTTCCTAGTTAAAGATACTCTGTGATATTTTATTTCAAAGGACACACAAAATCTGAGTGTTCCATGATAGTGTTCTTTTACCACAAGTGAATTAATGGACTGAATTCGTGCAACAATACTTGATTAGCTTTATTTTCCGAGGCTGTTCTGTACTTGGAATTGCTGTATGAGTCACACCCCAAAGTGCATGAGTGAGCCTAAAACAAATTAGAAAGCAGCTAGGAAACAGAATTGAAGAGCATAGGAGAATAGCTATCAAAAAAAGTCCACAGAATTATTAGAAAATGTAACTGCCTTCGACCTAGAGCCACACTGTGAACAGCACTGTAAACTCCAGAACTATGCAATATTTTCTATTAAGTTTATATTGTAATTGATCAAACTATGTTCAGTAAATATTGAATAATCTATTGCCCCCTAATATTTGTCTAGCCTATCTACAGTATCTAGAAGGTGAATTTCCTTCCCATGAGTATCAAATATTGATCAATTCTCTACAACATCTTTAAAACTGAAAATAATGTATGGCCATACATTGTTACAAGTATAAGCCTATGTTAATATAAAGCAGAAACACGATACTTACATCTAGAAAATCAAGGAATATTCTTGGGTTAAGTGTCATAATAAAAGGCCTTTCTTGCCTCCTTTAATGTTATAACGAGTTTCCATATGTAATCTCAGCTACCTATGCCAAAGGGTTTCAGGTGAATTGAAGTTTATTGTCACATTGTCAATTTCCTCTTGGTTGCATCAAAATACAATAGAAGACAGACAAATGAATCCTCTCTGTATCCCAGAAACAATCTTGGAGGATGGATATGTTAATCCCATTCTGAAGTGGAAGGTAGCAAGAACCAGAAGTCTGCCGATCCCGAGTTAGTTCATGGACTCAGATCTTTTCTTCTCAGATGGATAAATTCCTCCAAAAGTCTCTAAGAAGGGAAAATGCTTTCAATGATAAAGTATGTAATTCTTACAGATTAAAAATAAGAGATAATTTGAAGGATGCTGTGAACTTAAGGTAAGTTATGAGTGTTAAATACAGAAAATAAAAATATTAGTTGAAATTTGTATACCAAAAATGTTAAAATGAAACACAGAACAAAGACGTATAGAGGGATATGAAGTATAAACATAAAATTATTATGTGAATCTCTTGTTCCTGGAACAATTTCTTGTAGAAAAATTCTACCATTAACTCAGTATCTAGTGGGGACTGTCTTCTTAAAAGAACAAAGACGTATAGAGGGATAGGAAATATAAAATATTATGTGAATCTCTTGTTCCTGGAACAATTTCTCATAGAAAAATTCTACCATTAACTCAGTATCTAGTGGGGACTGTCTTCTTAAAAATGTTTCTTAATAACCATGAAAAAATGTTGCTTGTTTGATGCTTATTCTTACTTTTTCTTTTACACATATGTAATGAACAGGTCTATTGGTGGGGTAGTTGCATTTTTTTCTTTAGGTAATTAACAGCTGACTAACTGGACTTAAGGCCTACTCAATGGGAGGAAATTCATCCATAGTCCTGTAAACATAGCCAAGTCCACATGGTTGGAGAGGTCATAGACCCTAGAGAAGAACCTATTTCTGCCGCTTTCCCAAACCAATGTTAGTTCCTACTATATTCTGAATACCCTTATATTCATATCATCCTAAGGAATGATATTTATGTGATGTAATTTAGCCTTTAAGATGAGGGAAGATTGCGTGAAGACTTTAGTACAGGGAAAACTTTCTCTTTCTTTAAACACCTGTTTTTCTCATGTGCAGTAGTTCCTGGAATTACTCTCTTTTGTTCTTATAAAGGTTTTCTGAACTGAGTCATTTGTCTCCTGTTCTCTCTCTCTCTCTCTGCTGTGGAAGGGAGGAAGTTCAAATCTGGATAACACACACACATCTTTTATGTGGAAGCTGTGAGAACCATTTTGGAATACTAAGAAGGAATTAAGAAATCATTATAGTTTTTCCAGTTAGTATTACACTACTTAATACCATGGATCGTGTATTTATTTTTCCTTCTGATAGTTTCTTCTCTTTTCTCAGTATGTTTCTCTGTGAGAACTGGACTTCAGAAAAATTTGTGTGCTTTTAGAAGGAGAAATTGAAGTGACACTTATGTTTGATTTGTGAGTTGGCACACAGTAGTGAGGTCACACACGTGTTCCCAATATTCTGATGCATCCTCATGATACAGACTAATACTAGCTGTGATAGTTAATCCATGGCATCACTTAACTGTATCTGGGATTAACTGAAATAAGAGAGATCTTCTTGATGGGGTCATCTGAAGCTGGAAGACACACCCCAAATGTGTGTGTTACCTTCTGATGGCAGCCCGTATAAAAGGCCATGGCAGAGGAGGGTACTTGCTTTTTGCTGCTTGCGGTCTCTCTTGCTGGTTAGTTTGTCTTGCTGCTGTAGACTGAAGACTAGCCAATCTTTTAGAAGTGATTAGACCTTTAGTGCCAGATTGGGACTACTGAGACAGCCAGCCTCATGGGCTGAGAGACTACAGGATTATTCAGCCTCTCCACTGTGGTGCAGCCATTGTTGGACTAGTCAGACTCTACCCTGTGAGCTAATGTGATAAATCCCTTTATATATATTCATACTACTGGTTCCGTTTCATTAGAGAACCCTGACTAATACACTAGTCTTACAGTTTTTCTGCCTCTTTATAGGTATTGCCATTCAGTTTGTCCAGGTCTTGTGTCAGGCGCAAGTGGTTCACTCTGATGAAAGGCTCAGGATTAGTAGTTATCTTCAACATCAGAATTCAGAGTATTGTCAGATACTGTATAAAGATCATCAGAGGTCTCTGCTTTGTGACATTGTCCTTTCCATAATGCTGGCTTCCCTGGCTTGAGGTGCAGGATGTGGTTCAGTGGTAACAAAGTTTACTGGTCTGATTAATGGTTTCTTTCACTCTATGAAGTTTTGCTCATATAAGTAATCTCTCACCGTATATCCTTATGGTAGTTCTGTATTACTTATCAACCTGTGAGTGATGCAGACTCAGTGCACTTGCCAGCCCAATCTATATGTTAACACAACATTGTGACTAGCTATAGTACACATATATTTTTAGCACAGATGAAATGTATTAATGAGCTTGGAATATATGAAACTAAGTGATTTACTCACATGTCTCATCACTTTCAAGCCAGGGACTTGATAGATTAATGGAATATAGTCAGGTAAGGTAGGTGGAGTAACAGTGCTGTTTGGGCACAACACTTTGGGCTAATGGGTGACACTCCAGCATGACAAGTTACAGAAGCAGATCTGCTACTCTTCTCACAGCTCCCGGAAACTCATTCTTTTCTGTATCTACAGCATTTACTCATGGTTCCGAAAAACCTCTTTTTTCTCTTAGCCCTCTCACCTTTATTAAGATAAGAGCTAGTGCTCTGGTTAGTCCTTGATTTTTTAACCATCTTGCTTGATTCTCATATCCCTGTCCAAACCTTTGAATATCTTTCCTTTCATAAATTCCCTTTAACTTTCCGAGTGTGATATGTTTTGTTTCCTGGACCTTGAATATTGCCATGCCATATCTCTAAAACAATGAAAAGGAAGCAGAGTTACATGCATTTACAATGCTAATCACATATAAATGTAAAACTCAAGAAGTTTTCAAAGAAAACATACTGCATGATTGTCACTAAGGGAACCCAACAGCAGTTTTTGCTTAAGGGACATGATCAAAACATTGTTGGTTTGACTTGTGACAATCTTGTTTTCAAAATAAGAATAGATCACTGGAATTAGCAAATACTGAGAAATTGAAAACCTTGGTTAGTCATCTTTGTTGCTATTAGGTCATTATATAATAGTTTAAACTAGACTTTGAGTGTTTGAAGTATCATTTCCAAATATTAAAATTAAGGACTTAATAACTCTCACATATTAGATATTTCTTTTTTTTTTAGTTCCAATGAAACAGAGGGTAACTCTGAATTTTCTAAATTTCATTTGCTTTAGGTGGGGTTAAGAAGGATATATTCCTATGCTGTCTGATCACAAGGTTGTGTCATTA